ATTAATAAACTCATTGCGAAATAGTTCTTATAAGGACTAAATAGGGCTCTGTATGGTAAGGTCATTTCAAATATGATAAATTGGTTTAGGCAAGCCATAAGTCTCCTCCAACACACCAGCAGGAGATTTTCTAGTATAGGGAAAGGCCAAGGTTGATTCGTTCTAGGTGGAGGCCAACCTTGTAAGCTGCAAAATATCTCCTTTCTCTGTTCTAGGTATGTCCAACTGGATATAAAACAAGTCCACCTCTTTCCACCCCTATGTCCCAGAAGACTCTGAGGAAAGCAGATTGAGAAGAAACTGTCTACAACACAGTGACCTTGTTATGGCATAAGGCCTCGTGACCCTCTCCTGACTGGCATCACCATTCTAGTACTCTTAAAAATTATACTGTAAACTCACATACTCGGGGGGATAAACAGTAATCAGTGAAAGCAAATTAGAAAGTAGAGAGGCAAGTGGCACTCTCATCAGGGAATATATATAGTGCTTTGTAATAAAAGCAAAGGCAAGAAGGAGGTACATGTGTTTAACAGATAACTTTGTAAGTAATAGAGTCATCCTTTATGATAATGCAAAATATCAATTTATTATGTAGGCCATATTGGGACTTGGAGAAATAATCCTTTTGTTGATGTGTTTGATTTTAAGGTACCTTAGGAGATAAATGATAGTATCACAGAGTGTAAGACCTCGAACATTTGTCTTCTCGCTTTTAGTGCTTTTGGCTAGTAGTTAGGGAAGTCTCAGACCAAATACTGTACTTGTGCTCTGCAGGAGATAACTGATATTTGCTCCTGGAATCTGGGGAACCTGGAAATTGATAAGAAGCAGAAAAGTCTGCTGACAGTTGAACCCTGCTGATCTTGGTGGGGAGAGATTGTAGACCCCAGAGAAAAGTGAAAGGGTGGCAACAGAGATGAAAGGGTTAAATGAGGAGAGCTAAAAAATGGAGCAATGGAAAAGTTAGTGAAGACAGTTTAATATCATATTCTCCAGTGTGTGTGTGTGTGAGCTCCAAGGCCTAGACAAGTAGGGCTCGCACTCTAACCCAGAAGCACAGTATCTGTCCTCTTCTTGCTCTGTAGCTTGAAACAATTATCTTGATCCTTTTAATAAATATATACTTTATTGGGTTCAGCATTCAGTTGCTGTGTAGAAAGGCAAGTGAGGCAGTGCCAGAACAGATCCACCAGCTGGTCCCTGAGAGGTAGCATAAAGACACCATGTAGAGGCCTATTGGAATCAAGGACTATGTGCATCACACAATACCGTGATGGAAGAAACAGTAAAGGTCACTCCATCCATTCTGAAGAGAGATAAAGTATATACCTCTCAGGAAGCAGGGCCAAAGGCTTTAGGAAAGAAATTAGAGTGAAAGATTCCTAGGTGATTTGGCCTTTGACTGTATTTAAAAGGCAGCTTTTAAGTGCTCATAAATGCCCAGGTTAAGTATTATACTTGCAGCTGCAACACAAAGGAGCAAGCTCAGGAATGGACTTTTAAATTTTGTTAAAGTACCAGGTGAAATCAAAGACAGTCCCATTCATAAAGGCATTGCTGGCTACAACGTGCCCCTGGCTACAGGTTAAAATTCAGTTCTTGTGTCTTACTCTTCCAGAAAGGGCGTGTAAGGTCATAGAAAGCCTGTGTGATACCTGAGAGTGGATAAGCAAGCCATGGTTGGGGTAAGCTGCCCGACACAAACACATTTTTAATCTGCAATTGATAAAATATACACACACAGAAATGGCACATGAGCTGTGCCTAAAGGTGTCATTTTTACTTTTTATTGAACTCCATAAGTATCTTCATAAGGCTTTGTGTCATTACAACATCTTTTTTTTGTTGTTGTTAAACAGTTTTTTTTTTTTAAACAGACAACTCTTACACTTGTTTAAGAGGGTCAAATAGTCAAACAGTAGAAACAAAAGAATAAATTGCCAAATGCAGAGCAGTAGGGGTAATCAAAATCACTGTTGCCCATCTGTCAATCCCAGCCCACCCTACCCCAAAGCACTAAAAAAATCACTATCTGGGTTCACATTAGAATTGTCTGTACTCTCTTGCTGATATCCTTAATAGATCCATTAAAGATATAGACATGTAGAGAGAAAGAGAGGAGAGAGAAAGTTTTATTTTTGTGTTAGGACTTCTCCGTAGTGGACCCTATAGAACATACTAGCAATTTGAAGAAAAAAAATCAAGGCCTTCCTGAACTGAGGAAAGGGGAGTTCAGGGCCATGTACAAACAGAGAGTTATACCGTTCTTGAGGATAGCATTGCTGTGGGGAAAGAACATGTTTAGATACTGATCCCAGATAATTAATAGGCTCTCTGGCTCCCCTTTGGGCTATTGGCCACTGGCTTGCTTTTCTGCTATGTGGGGGCATTCCAATCAATGGAGAGCTAACTTCTTGTTTTCACAAACTAGTGGCATCTCATAAGGCCATTGGGTTATGTAGAGGAGAAAGGGGGAGTGATATTCCTGATCCTGGATCCCTGGGGATAAAGAACCCAGGAAGGGGAAGTAGATGAAAAGGTCTGGCTAAGAGATGCTTTAAACCCAAGGGCTTGTCCAAGTGTCCCCTCCTGGTGTGCCTCCAACACCTAGGGAAACATCACAAAGCCACACCTAATGCGGGGTAGTGGAAAGTAGGAAAAAGAACACAATAAAGAGAGGCCTGCATAGAAACTGAAACACGCTGTTTGCCAGCGGGGTATATTTTAGCCTGGATACTAGGGATAAGGTTCCTTGCCAAGGAGGCTTAAGTAGCTAGGTCACATGCTAAGCAGTGGTGGTCAGATCTGAGCCCTAATTCTCTGCTCAGATCAGGCTTGTCCTTTTCTTAACTCTATAATTCTGACTTCTTGTGGTGGAATGGAAGCTTCAAAAGCTTGTAATTTGATTCCCACAGGGAAAAGCTTACCAGGGTAGGCAAGGTCTGGTCTGGGTCAAGAAGCATAAAGCGAACCAGCTATGCTGAAGCCTTCATGCTATTATGACTGCTGCTTGGTAAAATGGGGTCTTTTCACACTGTAGTCTTCTTCCATGGGATCCAGGACAGAGTGATAAACTTGATTCCTGGCTACAGTGGCTTTCCATAGCAGGGCCAACGCTCACTCCCTTATATCCCACTCCTTGCTATTCAAGGTCGAACCAAGCAAAGGGCCATGTAGGGAGGATAAACAGGTATTCTTGTACCCACTGAGATCCTAATTCTTTGTGGGAGAAATTAGTGGAAATCCTTCCAAAAATAATCCTGAGGATAGTATCTCTGCCTTGGATCCTTTGTTCAGAGCTCAATATGCCCCTAGGCCCCAACATTCACTGGCCACAAATGTCTTGGGATAGGAGGATGTTACAAACAAGGCTATCGTCTAGTGCCAGAACTGCTTTAACTATGCAAATATCAACATTTCTCCTGTGCCAGGAGGGCCAGAGAAAAAAGGGAAACAGAGAAAAAAAGGAAGGAAGGAGCCAGGGAAGATTGTCCATGCAATCTGCTAACAATAGAGGATGATTCACACAATTGGGGTGGTAGGAACTGCAGGTACAGTATCTTGGATCAAGCCTGCCTTTTCCCACACCTATTTTACTGTCAGCCATGGACTCTGTCCAGGTCAGTAATTTGAAGGCAGCTGATGATCTTGGTCAGGTGCATTCTGTCTTGAACCTCTCCATAGACTCCTATCAATGCCGCCTTAAAAATCTGCAAATGGGAGCAGAGATGACCAGAACATTGAACTCCTTGCTATAGGGAGCCCTGCCTTATATCTACTTGGTACTTGGGAAGGGCCAGAGATAAATCCCTTCCTTAGGAGGCAGAGTCTCAGCCTCTGCTTTCAGTTAAGATCTTCTGCTGGGATAGGGAGGGCAGGCCTAAGAAGAGATTCGTAATAGAGGGAGTGTGAAGAGACTAATTGGCCCAAACTAACACCCATATGAAAAACTGCAGTGACCCAGAAATACTGCAACATGGGACTCCTAAGTGTTAGAAGGAATCCTCCATTGCATAAAAATACAACATCTTTTTTATCCATTCTTCCATTGATGGGCATCTGGGTTGTTTCTAACATTTAGCTATGACAAATTGTGCTGCTTTTTGCTTCATTTTGCTTTTGTCTACGTTGTTGTTATTGTTTTTTATTCTCTTTAAAATAGAAGGAATAGTCCAAGTGAAAAATATTTCCTGAACAAAACTTTTCTTTAGCATACTAATACTCTGACACTCCCTTGTTTCTGTTTGGTTTGATATCCTTCCTCAACACCTAAAATACAGTGAAAGCAATAGAAATACTAAGCAGTTATGTCACAGGGCATTAAGGAGCATGTCCTGACTAGCAGGACTATAGACAGAGGATGCTGGGTAAAGGCTGTTTTGGGGAAACTGCAGGGCTACAGGAACATTCACACATGATTGGCTGAAGGAGAGGAAATGGGGACCCTTCCTTTTCTCAGTGAAAAGTGAAAGAAAGGAATCCCAAACCTACCACGTCAAATTAAAGTCAAAAGTCATCGGCATCTCTATCATCATGAAGGAAGAAAACCAATACAAATGCATCTATGGTAATCATGAAAAAATCAATGAATCATTCACAGAGGAGCAAAGAGAGTATTTCAACAAGAAAAGGAACAAATAGAAATGTCAACTTCTGAAAGAAAAGGGGAAGGGAACAGGGCAGGAACTAAAAAGTTTTAAGAAGGGGTCACATGTTTGGAAGTCATTGGTACCTCTTCCTACCACCTATAGATTTCACAACCCAAAAACAACAGAAAACGTTTTTGGTCCTTCTGTGTGTGTGTATGTGTGTGTGTGTGTGTGTGTGTGTGTGTGTGTGTGGTATGCGCACACATGTACACGCATGCCAACACAAGCATGTGTGTGTGTGTACTCAAGGGTCTGTGTGTATACATATGTCTACATATGTCTATATATATGTATATACGTATATATACACACACATATATATTTTCAACAGTGTTTCTCCGAAAAAAGTCCATCTATAAATATAATTTTATTTAGTTTATTTTAAAATTATCTGCCTCCCTGTAGGTATTATTTTTTGAATGGGGTTAACCTGCTGAAGTTTTGCCAGAACGGTGACTGGCTGCGCTTGGGTTCGGTGAACTCAAAGACCTGCGACTGAGCGATGCCATCGGGGACCAGGTACTGGGCCTGGTTTAACGGGTCCTGTGGTGGCGGGTAGGAAGGAGGGACTGAGCGTGCAGAGTTGACACCTATAGAAAGGAGATCAAAGGGAAAGGGCATCAGTTAAATACCGAGAGAGTTCTCATATCATTCAGCGATCCTCTGAGTAGAAAATATAAGATAGACTACTTTAGGGTTTGAGCTGGTATAGACTGAACAGTCCTAATATGGATATCTGAAAGGCCCTGAAATCAAAATTTCCTTAGATTAAAAAAGTTTCATAATTCCAAATATTTTAGAATTCAGCATTTCTGATTAGGGATGCTCAATCAAGAAAGTCTATGCAAATATTCCCAAATCTAAGAAACTCTGGAATTTGAAACACCAAGCAATGTGGATAAGGGCTATTCAAACCTGTACTGCTAATTATTTCTCTAACAGATTTTGAAGTGGTATGTCTCTTACTGAAATATGGCATGGCTCCTCTCCATTTAATCAGTGTCCCTTAGAAATTTAGGATGCCACTATCAGCTGTTTTACAGATGAGCATACTGAGGTCTAGAGATAAAAGTCATACCTCAGATTCCATGGTACATTAATGACAAAGCAAGAGCTAGAACCCATATTTTTTGACTTCTCAGTTCAGAGATCCTTCAAAGAAAGCATAATTCTTTAAGCTGATTTTGATTCTGCAAAGAACTCAACAAGCTCCATTTAATTCCAAAAGACTTTGGTTTTTTTCCCTCTCCAATTACCCCTGGAAGTATCAAGAGTCTGGTGAAGAACGATTGACTTCAGGGCAAGTCTTCAGGTGGAAACAGTTTTTTAAAACACACAAAGTAAGGCACAAGTGATTTAACATTCTGCCCTGGGTTGAGAGTGACAAATCTGCACTTATAGGGAATTGGCATTGGTAGTTGAGGAAGAAAGCAAGAACATCACCAGAATCTACAATTCATGAAATTTGGACCTTTCAAAGGGAACAGCTTCAATGACATTAAGATTAGAAACCTTCTTGACTTCTGTGGCTGGATTTGAAACCATCACACCAAAGACCAAATTGAGAGAGGATTCCAGGAACCAGGATAGGGGTGAGAGCCAAAGTCAAAGTTCCATTTTGATCTATATTCAAAGCAGAACAGTATGAGACATAAGCCATGTGACTCAGACATGAAAAAAAGGCCTCTCTGATGCTTCCAGATACTGTCCTCATCTGCCAGCCAGTGTCTGAAATTCCAACATTAGAGCGTCTTTGCTTTTAAAGATTTGATCGCATTACTCTGGAGGCAGTATCACATGAAGCCATTATCGGCCATTGGCATCTCAGTGGGAAGGATCAGATTCTCTTCTAAGAGCCAGTTTTGAAAGAGCAAGTATCAGAAATATGAGGGTATGCCAACTGACAGTATGAAGATATTATGGGGGGAGGTCCATATTATCAATATTTTATTTTTTTCTTTAAGAACACCTCTATCTAACCCTAGATTCTGAGGACATTTTTTCTAAGCATTCTGTAGTTATACATTCAATACCATAGTCAATTTTTATTTAGCTTTTGTACAGAGTGTAGGTTCAGGCTGAAGATTTTTTTCTCCACGAAAGCCCAATTGCTTCAGCATCACTTGTTGAAAAGGCCTTTTTTACTACCAAATTGTGTTCATGTCTCTGTCAGAAATTAGACATATTTGTGTAGGTCTGTTCCATGATTCCTTGATATGTGTTTCCTTCTACCAAAATCACATTGCCTTGATTATGATAGCTACATAATATTGAAATTGAATAAATTTATCCCATTTTCTTTTTCTTTTTCAAAACTATTTTAAGAATAATGGAGGAGTCACTTAATTTTGAGCTGACCCTAAAGCCTTTAGAGGTGAAGCCTGTGCTCATGACACTGGGGAGCTCTGTGTTGACAAACTCAATTTGGTTGATGGCCCAGGAATTAGTACCTTAGTTCCAAGATAATTCTTAAATAATTCTTAAAAGCGGGGGCTGGGAATTTAGCTCAGCGGCAAAAGCGCCTGCCTGGCAAGCGCAAGGTCGTGAGTTCGGTTCCCGGTACCAGAGAAAAACCAAAAAGCAAGGCAGTGTGAAAGGCAAAGGTAAAGTGAAAAAGCCTTTCTTAAAGCTAGACTGGTTTCTTTCTATTTTCCCAGCCAGGTATCCTCTCCCCCTGGGCAGTAGCCTGAGTTGATAATGTCACATGGTGTTTCAGATAGGGTTGGAAGGGGACACCAGAGTAACTACCCAACCCACAATCTCTCAGTTGGAGAAATCTTAACAAAAGCCTGCCCATAATTTCTAGGGATGGGTGATTGGAAGGATTGTTTCCTTGGATGTTTGAAAGAACCTCTTCATCCTCTCCCCATTGTACATGCTGTGACTACTGAATTATTGTTTGACAACTGCTTCCATATAGGACCTTCTTGAGTCTCAGAAATATATAAATCACTACACCCCTGGACTTGGATGCTAAGATCAGAAACAGAAAAGTGAGGAGAGATTCATAGGACTTCTGGGAAATTTAAAACTAGATGAGTTTCTTTAAAGATTTTGGAATTGATTTTAAGAAAAAAAAAGCTCAGACACTAGCAGACAAGAAAGGACCTAAAAGGGACAGCCTAGAGACTAGACAGAGTGAGAAAAGAAAAGAAATTAATATAAAGGCTTGGTATGAGCTCACAGGACTATCTTCTGACTGGCTGCTTTGTTGATGTTCCTGTGTTTGAAGTATACTCAGTGAAAGGACCAGTCTGTAGAAGATACTCTTGAAGGAACCTGGGCTGAGATAAATGAACCTCATTCTCTCAAGGGAGTCAGTGTATTAGGGGCAGTAAAGGAAATCAAGGTGAGAGAAACTCAGGAGATGGAAGCCCCCAGGATATAGAGGCAAGCTGCTAGGGCAGTATCATGTGTAGCATGAAGAGACCCCAGCTGGCTAGGGCTCATTTCTGCTCACATTTCCATCTGGGGAAAGAGGTACACACTCATGGAGTTTTGTTAATACAAATCAGATCCCTACTGATATTGACCCTTCAGAGGTTACACCTGATCTGAAAGATACAAACTTCTATACTGTTAAGGGGTAACTTGTGACCCTGTCTCACACATAATCAAAAGATTACAGGTGGCTGACTTTATTCCCTAAGGAAAATCATATTACCATGATGAAAGAAGATCCAGTGAGGGCTCAAGAAGAGTGAAAAATAATAAGCAGTTAAAAGAATGGTATGTTTAGTCAGAATACCCCAACTAATTGTACTGCTTAATTGGAAATCAGATATTCACAAGCACTCAATCTCCTCAATTAAAGAGAGCTTCACTGGAAATAATTAAGGGTGTGTTATGCGACTGTTGGAATTTCAGGGAACTTGAATCTGCTCATTGTGTATAGTGACTCATTCAGAACCGAAGAGGTCACTGAGAATGCAGAGGGAAGGACCTGGGGAAAGTGAGGTATCACTCAGAGCTCCCACCTCTGGCAGCAGTGAAAACAATGGTCAGTAATAGAAATAGCTATCGGTAATTGATATGAGATAGTAAAGTGAGTTCTTTATTCCCTACAAGAGGCATCAGCAGGACCATGATTTGGACAGAAGAAAGTAGTAGTGGGCCTAGAGTCAAACTGATCTTTTTTTCAGAGTCACTTCACTATGAGTAGTCTCAATTTCTTTATCTGAAAAGTGGGGCTAATATTGCCCACCACCTTCTTATGATTATCATAAGGATGAAAGAACTTGTATAAAAGGAGACCAATACTAGATTGACATTGTAGTAAACACAAGGTAACACTTGCTTTTTGCTTAGCTGAGTATTTATTTCTGCTCTGGTACATGAAAAAGAGAAAATAATGATTTTAAATTAAATTGACTCACTATGTATTTTAAGTACTATGTTTTATGCTTTGAAGAAATGTTAAAACTGTCTGAATTTTCTGTTTGGGTTTAGTTTGAGGTTCTTCATTCTGATTGGGGTCTTCTGATTTGGCAAGTGGCCCCAGACCAGTGAAAGAGAGCTGAACACATATATCTCTATATACTTATACTTACAGAATAAATTATATACATTTACTGTTTTCTGTCTCTAAATTATTATAACATTTCCCTAATTTGAAATAAAAATGAAGAGAAAAATGTTTAATTTTTTGTACATAATGATCTATCTTTGGATATAGCTACCCAATACTATTCATTCCTGAGCACTAAGCCTCTATGACCATTTGCTTCCTGTTTACAGAGACGCCTGCGGAGCTGGGAACTATTCCAGCACTCCAAGTGAACACTAGCATGGAAAGGAGCCAGGACATATAAAAGCACATAGTTTATGTCCTCCTAGTTTCACACAGAATCCAAGTGGGGTTGAAGGCGTAAAAGCAAGATTTACCTTTTTGTTTAGGGACTTTTCTCACAGTCATTGCAGCCTGCCTCTTCTGATTTTCAGAAATTTCAAAGCCTAAGAAAAGAAAAATACAGGACTTTGTTAGGACAAACATGTATTTTTCCTTAATGTGTACATTTGCAGTTTTTGTGGAAGAAGGATTTGGTAAAATAGTAAAAGTTTTGAGATATAAGGAAGTCACTGTTCTTGACTCAGTAATTTCTTTCTAGGAATTTCACTGATGAAATTTATTGGAAACGTTGATAAAGTCTTAGCTACATTTCCTTTAGGTATATGCCCACTAGTGGGATTGTTGGACCATAACTATTTTTAGTTTTTTGAGGAACGTCCATAATATTTTCCAAATAGTAATACTAATTTACACTCTTACCAATAGTGTATAAGAATTCCCTTTCTCATATGGCTTTTATAGACAATGGGGTACTTCACTGTCATAAAGTAGGATAAACTTGAGGTATTTTAAGGTAAATGGATGCACCTTGAGAACACAATTTTAAGTGAAATAAATCAGATGTACGTGTTTAGAAGTTACTTTTTTTTGGTTTTTTTTTTTTTTTTTTTCTGGCACCAGGAATCAAACTCAGGACCTTGCGCTTGCCAGGCAGGCGCTGTGCCGCTGAGCTAAATCCCCAGCCCAGATGTACATGTTTAAATATTGCATTGTTTTTCTTGTGGGAGAAATCCAAAGGGTAAGTAAGGACCAAAATGGATGATCAGTATTGGAGAGTAGGAAGAAAATGTTCAAACCGGAAGGGGAACCAGGGAGGAGGGAGGGGAAAGACAAGGGAGGGAATAGAGATAAAAAAGAATAGAAGTAAAACAATAAAAACAAAGTTTTGTAAAGGGAAAGTTGAGGAAAGACTGAAGGGAAGAAAGGGGAATGAGAAAAAAAAAACAAGAATTAAGGTATATTACTAGTGTGATCATTATGTATGTCAAAAGTGTAACAATAAAATTAATTAAAAAATAAGTCCTTTTCTTTGCAATCTTCACAGCATTTGTTATTTTTCTTTAGGTAACAACCATTCAAAGAGGTAGCATTTCACTGTAATTCTGATTTGCATTTCCCTGATTATTAGAGATGTTGAACATTTTTCATATATTTACAGGTCATTTGAAGGTTTCCTTTTGAGAAACATCTATTTGGATGTTTAGTCCATTTATTAACTGGATGTTTAACTGAATTTGAATTGAACTTATATAGTCTGGTATAAATGTCTTGTCAGAGGGAGAGTTGGAAATATTGCCTCCTGTTCTGTAGAATGTCTTTTGGCTCTGTTGATTGTTTCTCTTGAAATGCAGAAGCTTTCTTTGGTTTATATATCAAAGAGACACCAATACTCTGTTTATTGCAGCATTATTCACAATAGCCAGCATATGGAATCAACCTAAATGTCTACCAATGAATGAATGGCTAAAGAAAATTTGATCTATACACAATGGAATACTACTCAGCTATTTAAGAAAGCATAGAATCATGTTATTTTTGACAAATTGGCTAAAGCTGGAGGAACTTTGGTTAAGCAAAATAATCCAGACACAGAAAGACAAGTATTATATGATTTCACTTATGTCTAAAAAGTTGACCTCATAGACACTGAGAGTAGAAAAATGGTTACCAGAAACTGGGCAGAGTAGAGAAGAGGGAGAATGTACAAAGGTTGTTCAGTGAGCGCAATGTTACAATTAGATAGGAGAAGTAAGTCTGCATGTTCCACAGTATTAGGGTGAAGAGTGCTGACAGGAATGCATTATATGGATCTAAATAGTTCACAAAAGAAGACTTTAAATGTATTCACCATAAATAATAAAAGATTAAAGTGGTAAATATACAAATTATAGATACTTGATAAATACCCAAATATACATGAATCAAACATCACATCACACATGAATATGTGCAAATATTATGTCAATGAAAATAAAATTAAAACCAAAACTTAGTTACTAAGATGCAGATCACAGAATACAGGAGCCAAAAGGTGAGAATATAGGTTAAGAAAGAGCATAGGTTAAATACAGAATGTTTAAATACAGTATCATTAGAATTCTCAAATCAAATGCTTGAAATAAGTTTTTTTTAACAATCCTTGAATCAAGAGGTGTAATAACAGATTATACAAAACTAAATTTAAAAATACTTTATAAGACACATTTAAGATTTAGAAATTTGTCCCTTGTCCTTCAATTTGAGCCTGTCCATAAACTTCCATTTTTGACTGTTGGACCTACAGACTTCAGCAGGACTTGTCTGGCCTCTGTAATCACATAGGCCAATTTCTTATTTTTTTTTAAAAAAAATCTCCCAATAGTTAAACATTTCCTACTGGTTATGCTTCTTGGCAAAAGCTTAACTAATGGAGAGTTACAGTTAAACCCTATGATCTTTACCTGGAGACTTACTCAGGATAAGTTTATATAAAAGAAAGTTGCAAATCAGCATACAGAATTTTGTAAATAAACATGTATATATGTTTATATGAACATGCAAGAACTATAGAGTTACCCCAAACTGTCAATATTCATTATTTCACAGAGAATAGGAGTGACAGAGAAGGGGAAGAATGCTAAATGTTCTTTTTACATTTTCTACATGGGTTTAAATGGTTATGATGGTCATGTACTAATTTTATCATGAAAATGTAAAAACTAAACAATAAAATTATGTTAAATCAATAACAGTCATAAAAATAACAAACATTAAATTGGTGAAAATGTAACTGATATAATATGTATTAAAAATGAGAATACAGAGTTATATCTTTGTACCGCAGAGAAACAAGTTGGTAGAGAAAAAGTAAAATTTAGTTTTTTAAAAAATTAAACAGAAAACAAAGACTAGAAAGAAATATATCAAAATGTTTACAAAGATTTACTACATTGTTTGATTTTTACTTTTTCCTTGTATCTTTCTGTTTGTATTCTCTCAAGAATCCTACAATGAAATTGATGTACTATCATATAATCAGATTGATTGATTTATTATGATTTACTATCATATAAAGTAAAAACCCACAAAATCTTCATTATTTTAAAAAGATGAGCATAGGCCAGTCAGGACATAATTTCTGGAAGTTTTTCTATTAGAAGATTTTTTTGTTACATTTTATTAGGACATTGGTGATGGAGCCAGAGAGAATGGCAGGGGACTTCTAATTGATTCAGTGTTTGCACCCAAAGACCTTTCTTTTAATATAACATCCAAGACTAGGTTGGTTGCTTCTGGTATCTATCAGTGGGAGAAACAGTTAGCAACATTTCTATACCATTCCACACCATGTCTTTCTTATTTTAAAGAGAATTAAAAATAATAATAAAAAAACATTAGAAAGGATACAGAATTTCACCTAACAAGATGGTAGGAATTCAACAATGGTTGTTATGTTGCATATTGTTGTCTTTAAATTAGTTGTTCAGATTGCCAGATATAAGTATGCAAAATTGGTTAAAAAATTAACAAGAAGAAGAAAAATTTAAGCACTAACTGTTCCTTTCAATAGACCAGTAGAAATCGGCAGTACAGTTATCCCAGCTACTCTGTGTATCTTAATGCAGTGCTTATATGGTAAAAGCAATTTGACTATAATGAGGCTCAAAGGGAGTTATCAATGTGCACTCTGGAAGAGAAGACTAGGATCAATGCATCTTTCTGTAAATCTTTCTGGACTATTTAAATCCCCAACATGTATATGTGGAAGAATGCTTTTGCACAAGGAATCTGTGAGCAGGCCTAGTTTTGTAGAGGCAGCTTATACCAACTTGTGCATACAAGCATTCTAAGGTATAATTTCATTCTTGTCAGGTTAAGGCAAAGACAGAAACTGCATATCTTCTCAGGGAATCACAAAAGTTGATTGGTGTTTTTTATGACAAAAACAAGACCATGAACAAAAGAGGTGATAATACTTTATAAACAACAAAGCTATAGCCAATGGCATGTAAATATGAGTTTAGAAGCAGCATGTAAAATACTTCTACTAGCTGTGTCGCTCAGTAAAAGGTAAACATTCTGTTAAAAGTCAAAATGTATGTTTTATTGTGAATGTAAATCACACACATGGTCATGGTTTTATACACTGCTATGTTTCTGTAATTTAAAATAGTTACACATAATTTATGCATATCATTTCAATCTACAGTCCAGGGACATTAAGATAATATCTACAGTATGCTAACTGGGTATATACACTACAAAGATGATTTGTTAATATATTAAATACTCAAAAGCCTTTGCCCCGGAGGCCAATACTACCAGAAGTTGAACCATTAGCCTACAATATGTGAGCCATGAATTCTTATTGGTAAAATGAGTGTTCTTAAATATGTGTACCAGCCAATAATATTTCATAGGCACATTAATCCTTGCAAGAATTTGGTATAAGAATCTAGTGAGACTCACAGCCTATCCCCTTCAGAGGGAACTATGAAACTTGAGATTAAAAATAGATCCTTTGTCTTGGTACTCATCAAGATTGTGAGGCCAGATTCTGACTAGAAATTTGGTTAAGGCCCAAGAATGTAGCACAGTGGGAGAGCACTTGCCAGCATTTACAAGACACCTGATTCAATAACACCAGTACTATTCAATGAAATTTAAAAAGTGAGGAAATAAGGAAAGTTGCTTACATCTCACCAAATCAGCCCAACTAACCCTTACACAGAAGATACAGTCATATATGTAACGATAGAAAACTGGAGCATCATAGACTACAGAACAGTATATATAACTGCTTTTTGTTCGTTGGCTGATAAATATTTGTGAGAATCAAATCTACAGTGGGCTCTTCTGCAATACTCTTTCATGGTAATAAGATTTTAGGGGAGTTCAAACTATAACTTCCAGCTACCCCTGCTTAATGGAAGCAACTGGTATTTATAAAAAAAAAAAAAAAAACAAAAAAAAAAACCCACAAACCTAATAATAAGGAATCAACAAAGTGACTCATGTCAGTTTGCAACAGAAAGCTTCCCTCTGACTCTAGAAAAATAAAATTAATTCAAACTTGTGTCCAGTTTTCATAGTTATATTTGTCTTTTTCCTCTCGGGTTGCTTACCGATTTTTTCATCTTCCTGTACCATTTTCCTCTCTTCTCTGAAAGCCCTGAGCCAACGTATTTTCTCCTCCAGCTTTTTGGCAAAGAACAGATGTACTTCTTCTGTCTCCTTGTTGTGAAGCTTGAAAGCATTCTTCATGCTTACATTAAAGTCATCATCTCTGCCATCTTCAATATCAATTACTTCGTATTTATCCATGTCAATGCGCCCTTTGTAGTATAGGATGTCTCTCCGGATCAGGTCCTAGGTTAGAAGGAAGAGAAGGCTTAGTTGGAGGTATGTGCAACATGGGTACCAGAAGAGCTAACATAAGGAGTGAAACAGGACCTGAACATTGCTATTGTTTTGGAGTACCAAAAGGGCTTGTTAAATTCTAAATTTAGGCAAATTGGATTAGTTGCCCTAAGAGATGTACCACACCCTAAAGACTCTAATCCCAGCATCAATTCTTGGGTGTGTTTACAAGACTTCTGATAGGAAACGGGAAACAGTATGCCACAAAAGTGCTGGTAGCAGGGGCTTTTCCTCTTCTATAACACTGACAAATCTACCAGAAGCATGAAACGAGCTGACTGGAAGTTTAGAATGTGGTAAGAATGCCAGTGAGATCACAATATCAGATGAGTGACTGAGTGTAGGAGTAGCTGAGAGTCCACAGACTACTAGCCAGGGAAAATTACCAGGGGTAGTTCTATAACTTAACACTTAGGATTTTTAGACTAAGCCTAGTGTGGCAAGAAGAAATGAGTTACTAGAAGAAATACTGTACTAAAGAAAGAAGAAATACTGTACTAAATACTGTAAGAAGAAATACTGTACTAAAGAAAGAAGAAATACTGTACTAAATAAACAAGATGTTTACATATCAGCATAGATGAATTTCACAAATATTATGTGAAAAAAGCAAACTTGTAGATGAATACAAAGAGTACTTTGCTTTTTGGTAATTGTTGTTTTGCTCTTACGTACATAGAAATGGATCGGTCTGAACTCCAGTCAAGGAAACACTCACTATTTGTCCATGGATAGTGCTCTTATTTCTCTATCTATGTACTTATTTGCATTTTTAATAATGCAAGAAAACTTGTAAACCTACTATTCAGTCTAAATGTTAAGACACCAGAGCTTCCTCCATCCTAAATCTCATGTCTATCATTCTCCTGGTTTCCTTTCTGTATAGTTTTATCTCATTTATAACTATTTTATTAAAAACATATAAAACAGTGGAATATAGTGTTTAAATATGCATATAATGCACAGAAATTATAAAGGATTATTTGACAGTGATGTGTGCTGTATTCAAGAGAATACCATACAGAAAATAATAAGTGGTGAGTAAGAAAGGAAAGGAAGAGAAGGAAAGGAGAGGGAATAATGCATTTGCAATGAATTAATTCTTAAATTAGATAGTAAGTGTATGAGTGTACATTATATTATTTTTATATTTTCGTGAATGTCAAATAGTTTTTCATATTTCATAAGATACAAAAGAAAATAAAGGTGTAGATGGAATGACATATGGGCTTATGAGATGTGGACTTTAATAAGTCTCCCAGAGTGGCCTTTTTAGTCTCTCCATCTCTCAGTGCTTGCCTCCATCCTCCATTAAGAGCACACCTACTGCTAGGACATGTGATATGGCTGAGGGTGGTCCCTGTGAGCTCTGCCCCAACAGATGCTATCTTATCAGATGGGCTGCTTTCTTGTCACTTCTCCCTTCTTGCTTGCATCTGGCCTTTCATTCAGCCTGACAGAGTCAGAAATACTTACTGACTTTTATTAACATACAAGGATTTTATGGTTTGTGTTTTGATATGGTTGTGTTTTGATGATTCCTCTGCAATCATGGGGCAGGCTTCTAGAGTCTATGATTGATCCATGATCCAATGCTGGGATTATGCATGCTAGTGTTACACTCAACCTGGGATGGGTAGTTTGCATACAATATAAGGGAGGGAAAGAAGCCTGTGACTGTTTCTCCCTTTTTCCTCCTGTTATTTTCGCTGTTTTCTGCTGCCATGAACTGTTGCCCTCTGCAATTTGCCACTCTGCCTTGGAGCCAGCTGAGTATGGACTGAAACCTCCACAAACCGTGAGCTAAGTAAACCTTTCCTTCCTTAAATTTGGCCATTGAGTATTTTGTCTCAGCAACTACAGAAAAGTAACCAAGACAAAAGCACAACCACAATATATGCAAATATTGAAATTTCACAAATATATTACAGTAGTAGATGAATTGCCATTAATTTTGCCCTCAAAATACTCTCTTCACTATGAATACAGTTATCTCATTGTTCATGCCACTTTCTTAAATATTTCTGCAAGTCCTTTTTTGTGAGTTTATACCAGGTGTGAGCAAAAATAAGGTGAATGCTGCTGCTGAGTGCATCCAATGGAAATACAGGCTTATAAAAACATTACAGTGTCTTCATCCACCTTATTCACTGGGTCTGGTATCGTAGGATTGCTGGCTTTTCTCCAAAGTCAAAATGACCAGGAAAGATAAAGGTATGAATTGATTCAAGACATCAAGGAAGACATGACAGAGCAGCTAGACCCATATGAAAAAGAAATTTCAGAGCTGCTTCAGAAAGAGGCAAGAATCATAGAATAAGTGTATTCAAAGCAAGGGGGAATATGTTGCAGGGGGATTTATGGCAATGTGTCTTTTACTATAATTTTCTTTCTAAATGTAAACATTTGATCATACCTTATATGTTAACATGTATACATATCTGTACATACATACTTGTCCTAGGAAAGAGATTTCAGATTTTCTTCAGTTTTGTACAAGTTGTTTCCTCATTGCTCACAAAGAGCTACCACAAATATTGGTGTTAAATACAGAAGTAGTGATCAAAATATATGGTGAATATATAAATTTTTAAACATTATTAGAGTAAAAGATACATTCCTTTTAAAATACTACTCCTACTTCTGAATACACTTAAACCATCATTCTTCCTACTCTCTGAAGCAGTTTTGAAAGTCTGCTTTCAGGAGTGTCTTCAATGCTATTGCCAAGTGTTGTTAAAAAGGAAAGAAAGGGTTATAAAAACATGGTTTACTCTTATTCACCTCATTCACTGGATCTCACACTGTGTGACTTCTGGCTCACTCCCAAAGTAAAAATGAACATGAAAAGTAAATGTTTTGAAATGATTCAGGGCACTGAGGCAGCTGTGACAGTGCAACTAAAGACACTCATGGAAGAGGACTCCCACAATTGCCTCAGAAAGCAGCAAGAACAATGGGAAACATATGTTCAAAGTGAGAGGGAGTATTTTCAGGTAGAAATGGCAATGTGACTTTTACTGTAACAATTTTTGTAAATCTAAACTTATTTTTTCCATTACACTTTGTAACACATATGTCCAAAATTTTAAAGAGAAAAAAAATAAAATTTCCTAACAAGGTTAATAGGACAATAACAATGCTTAGTACACTGCATATTGTTATCATCAAAGTAGTCAATCAGACTACAAAATATAGACATAAAAAATTGTCCAAGAGTATAATCCTGTGCCCTGGGCATCCTCCATTGCTCTGAGTTGACAGTGACTGCAGTAGGAGACTAAGTTTGCACCCAGAACCCCCTCCATTGTCAGAGAACAGTGGTTCCAGTAGGAAGGGTGAAGGCGGTGCCAGCAGGAAGAGTATATGAATGCACACTGTGCATTCTCTATTGCTCTGGGTGGACAGAGGAAGTCCATGCTCTGCACCACATCCATTTTCCTGGGTTCACAGTTGTAGCTGGAAGAGTGAGGAAGGTACTTGGAAGAACAGTGAAGGCAGTATCAGTGAGAGGAGTATAAGCCCACACCTGGTGCTTTCTCCACTGCTCTGAGATAAGGATGACAGTGAGAGAAGGGTAAATTCATGCTCCTTCCTTCCTCCACTGTCTCAGGACTGTGGTACTGGCAAGAGGAGACATCTAGAGGAAGAGACACCTCCTAGGAAATCCTCAATATCAGTGATTAAGACTATTTAATGTTAAAAAAGTAAAAGTATCAACACAAAACAAAATAAAGTAGAAAATAGAAAATGAGAAGATGAAGAAGCAAAATACAATTCCAAACATCCAGTCCACCCAGAACAAATCTAGAACACAAAGAGATAGAGCAAATTGGAAGCCAACAAATGGAACTTTCTGAAATGGTAGGAGCACAACTTAAAAAACAAATGGAACAAGCCATAGAAAAAATAACATTAAAGTTGCAAAAAGAAATCACTATTAAAATAAAAGACATTAAAGCAGACACAGATGAGCAAATACAAGAGCTCAGGAAAATGATAGATATCATGAATAAAAAATACAGACAAGAAATGGAATCAATGAAGCAGATCCAAACAGAAATCCAGAAGATTAGAAACTTCGTTCAAAATATACACAGCACATTGATTTAAGAAGGGATAGAATATCAGATCTAGAAGATAGAAAAACAACTAGTCACTAGGAAAGGAAAGATAACTTCAAAGCCACAAGAAATCAAGAAAAATCAATCCAACAGTTACAGGATGAAATAAGGCAGAACAACATAAGAATGAATGA